AGTTCCTTTGGGCAGGTTAACTTTGACAGAGTTCGTCCAAAGGGGCGACTGAAGGTTAAACAAAATTTTACCCTGAAAAGAAAAAGATAGCTGCCCCAACAATTTTCAACTACTTGTATAAAATAAATATGTGAATGTTTTTAATGTTATGAAAATTATAACTTTTTGCTGTGTAAATAAATGGCTGCCGCTATTCAAACCCAGGTCCAATAGACCAATGCTATTCGGATGTAATTTGTGGTAGTTTATTTTAGTTAACGTTCCTTTAGTTAAACTGAAGAATTAAGTTTACAAACATATAGTCCATTCAATTATCTTTCATTTGATACCAAATCTTGACTTACAACCTAACAATAATTTTTTGGAATGTGTTCATGATGTATGCATCCAATCATGTTTCAGTGTCTTTTTCAGCTTTTATAGATATAACATTTTCATTTTTTTTTTCCTGACATCAATTGATGAATCAGGAGGAATAGTTTTGGAACTACATAATTGAAACTTTGCATGCTTATTTATATTGAGATTCTTTACTTTATGATGGATTGTTTTTAAACAAATGTCTCATAGGAAAAGTTTTCAGAATGTTTGTATTTATGTATTTTATTTATTAGGTTCTATCTTTTCTGTCTTAGTTTTCTAATTGTTTTTTAAATCATGAAGGATATATGTACATGGTGTATGCATCCTATATCGTTCATGCAGCCTCTAATTTAAAAAAACACAATTCTATAATTTTTTTTAATTTTTCTCAATTTTGCATTTTCCGGATTTTTAAGGAACGCCAAATGAATCGGGAGGAAAAGTATTCTAGCTACAGCCTTCAAACATTGCATGCTTCTTTTTATTGATATTCTTTACGAAATTCAAGAGGCTTTTATATATATATATATATATATTCAACTAGAAAGTTTTATAACATTTTTACATTTGCTACCCCTGAAGAGCTCTCAATATTTATGTGACCCCCACATACATGCCATTTGTAACACTTCCAATACCTGCTGTGTAATAATCTTCTTTAAACTTTTTGTCAATGTTATTCTTAATGTGTATGCCAAGTTTCATTTACAATACAGTACAATAAGTTACAATACAATGCAATACAAATTTGTCTTTATTTATTTTGCGTAAAGTCAAAATTGGTATTAAATGTTTAATTTTTTGCAATAAAAGTCGCAACAAATTTAAAAAAAAACAATTTTAGTGCATTTTTGTCTTTCTGTTTGTGTATGGTTTGTATGTACTGTATTTTTTTTTCAATGGCTCTATTTATTTAGGTTATCAGTATTTTATGTTCAATGTGGCATGACTTAGTTGCCTTGAAACCAAACTCCTTTCACAGATCACATATATTTGCTCCCACTCAATCATTACGTCTGTACTTAAATGAAGAAATGATACAGTACAAACAATAGTTAACTGTACGGGTACCAACAAGGAAGGTGAGAAAGTAAAAGGAGACAAATGGCAAAGAAATGATACAGTACAAACAATAGTTAACTGTACGGGTACCAACAAGGAAGGTGGGAAAATAAAAGGAGACAAATGGCAAAGAAATGATACAGTACAAACAATAGTTAACTGTACGGGTACCAACAAGGAAGGTGAGAAAATAAAAGGAGACGAATGGCAAAGAAATGATACAGTACAAACAATAGTTAACTGTACGGGTACCAACAAGGAAGGTGAGAAAATAAAAGGAGACGAATGGCAAAGAAATGATACAGTACAAACAATAGTTAACTGTACGGGTACCAACAAGGAAGGTGGGAAAATAAAAGGAGACAAATGGCAAAGAAATGATACAGTACAAACAATAGTTAACTGTACGGGTACCAACAAGGAAGGTGAGAAAATAAAAGGAGACGAATGGCAAAGAAATGATACAGTACAAACAATAGTTAACTGTACGGGTACCAACAAGGAAGGTGAGAAAGTAAAAGGAGACAAATGGCAAAGGAATGATGTGACCTAATTGAATGAGTTTATGGGCTGCCTACTCCATACTGGCCCCTAATTTATTTTATGAATTACTTGAGTACACAACTCAAATAACCAACAACAAAACAAAAATGTTCTCAAGTCAGTTAAGGGTTTTTTTTTCTATTAAATTATGTACCAGTGTGTTAGACCCAGTAGACAAATATGGGTAAAAAAAAAAGACTAGTCTTCCAAAAATAAGTCTCCTTCTCATACTTTATACAATGGCATCCTTTAACTTTAAGATGTTCATTGCAACTACCTTGTGAATTAGGTCAAGACAAATGAGAAAGGTTGTTGAAAGGAGATTCAAGATATCAGGAAAAACAGTCAGTGTCCGCATGTATGACTCCCAGTGCCAAGGAAAAGGTTTAAAATTGGTGGTTTTGTTCTGACTAATTCTAAACCAAGCTCTCTAGAGGAATAGTTGAAATTAATTCATTATGAAAATTTCATTATTATTTAGAATACCTAATTAATTCATAAAGTAGGGCCTACTGTGTGATTAAATCTTTTAACTTAAACAATACACATAAATAATCTTAAATAAAGGATTTAATTTTAATAATTAAATTAATATTATTACTTTTCTAAAATTCAAATGAAAACAATAAATTTATATAAATCATCTTCATTACTAGATTAAAAAAAAAAAAATAATTGATATACAAAAAAGACTTAAACAAAAAAAAGAAAATAAAAAAGAAAAAAAAACAAAAGAAACTAAAAGAAATTAAAAAAGCATAAAATAAAAAAAAGAATAAATCTTTTAACTTAAAAAATAAACATAAATAATCTAAAATAAAGGATTTAATTTTAATAATTAAATTAATATTATTACTTTTCTAAAATTCAAATAAAAACAATAAATTTATATAAATCATCTTCATTACTAGATTAAAAAAAAAAAAATAATTGATCTACGAAAAAGGCTTAAACTAAAAAAAGAAAATAAGAAAGAAAAAAAATCTACCGGTACTAAGAGAAATTAACAAAGCATTAAATAAAAAAAAGAACTAAAAATAATAAAACTAGGAATCAATGAAATAACAAGGAGAAAAGGCAATTTAAAAAAATAATTCTCATACTATTATTGTTATCACACACGGCTCCGATTTAATATGTACGGAGCCACTCCGGGTGCGAATAGTCATTGGCGATCATAGGTACCCGGGTACGTATAGATGTAGCCTAATTTAGGCTGGGTAATTTAAGGTCATGTTTAGAGGGGAAAAATTAGATTAGGAGCGTGAAAGGGAGTAGGGTAGGCCTATACTATAACATATACCAGATAAATACTTCTCAAAACTTAATGATGTTAGAAACGTAAATATCATTACATTTTTAAAGTTATGTATTGAACAGTGATGAGTTTTTGCAAAAGCAGTTACAAATTATCGCAAAGGACCTACCACTAATGATCCCGATAACATCGGGTCATTTATTCTATTTATTAATATAGAAGTAGAAGGCCTATAAAGTGAATGAATGTTGCGAACTAGACCATACCCAACATATTTTGAGAGTGAATCTCAAAATGGTTTGTTCGACTGCCCACACATGACATTGCTTATCCATAGCCCCCCCCTCCCCCCCTGCATTCAAAGTTGATAAGTTTACATTTTCACCACATCACAACTTTGGGCCCTTCAACATCAGAGGCTTTGTGCAGAGATTGCAGGGCTCGTGCGGCAGCCCCATTAACCATCAAGATGGTGGGCAGTCGTCCCATTTATGGATGTTCAGTTCCTGTGGAGCGACAGCAGACTTCATTAGGGTAGGGCATGAATTTGCAGGTTTTATTTAAATCATTCTGTTTATTTAACGACAGTTGTTGAAAGTGCGTGATATTTAAAAAACAACATTTTTTTTACAAGTTATGTGAATAAAAAACAAGCAAACAAACAAAAACCCCTCCAAAAGAACAATACCCATTTATAACCACGTGGTAACAAAAATGCAAACTAAGCAATTGGGGGGATTGCATGCAACACTCCGGAATAAAATCAACCTATGAAGGTCAACATCAGGATATTGGGGTTGGGGGGGGGTGGGGGAATAATAATAATAATAATAAAGTTAGTTTCAAATTACGCTTCCTCGCCAAAAGCTCGAAGCGCGGTACAGTCTAGTATGTTAAAAGAGAAATGAAGCAATCTATAAAAAAAACTATACGAGAATACCCATTCTAAGTCTTACATACCTAACAACCATAAACATAAAAATAGACCTATCTAATCTTATTTTGTCTTGCACCTTAACACTATTCATCCACATTTACTGAACTTAAGTGTCGCAAAAGCTTAAAAAGGGTGGTGGCGTAATCTTATGAATATAATAGTTTTAACGTAATATTTCATCAATGTCAAGAGAGCTTTTAAAATACTTTATGCTAGTAAAATCGGAGTAATCTGTTATCATTTCTGAAGTTTGTTTTATGTTCGTGAATGGTAGACATTGCCAATCTGTGCTTCTACCCCATACTCCATCCCCTTGCCTTATTCAGAAGATGTATTATACATTATTATTATTAATTTGTATTAAATTATATAAATTAATCACCCCTCCTTGGAATTTTTTTATATTAAAAACCCACACGCACAACCGCTTCCTGAGACACCAACACGATTTTTAAAGAATAATATATGAGAGACTTCATTCAAGCCATGAACAGATATATATTAAGCCTTAAAAATAAAAGACAAGACAATTAATTTAAGCTGACGTTTGGGCTAGACGCCTTCTTCAGCAGACATCAGGCCTGCAATTCAATAAACAACAAATTAATGTCTTGAAGATCTCAATGCAGTTCAATATTCAGAACAGCAAGACAACATAACTTGTTCCACTATTATTTACAAATCCTAAAAATGACAATAGTGCACTAGTTCGTATGTAAAATAAGGGTCAATCCATTTAAAATGTCTTTTATTTTTATATATACAGCCTGTATTCATTCTTTGTCTCTTCCCTCAAGGGAGGTCAATCAGTAATGAAAATAAATTCAAAATGGCTGTCGAGATGAACCAAATTGGCAAATGTTTTTGTAAAGACAAAGAAATTATGATTTATATCTGTTTTAGTTTTTAATATTGTTAGTATGATGCCATGAATTAATAAATGTACAGAATACCTCCATTGGCGCTCTTGAGATATTTGATATTATTTAAAGTAAGTATAAGTTTATGAGAATTAAAGTTTTGGAACTGTAGACTGCGGTAGACACTACACTAGACTAGTAACTAGTAGGTAGAGATCTACTGAACTGGAGTCAGTGTAGTTGTAGTTATAGGTAGACGACTGGTCTAATTACTTAAGACAGTCAGTAGGAGTATGACTAAAATCTGATTAAGTTTAACATAAGTATAAGTAAAACCCATCATGAATCCAATGGAGCCAAAGACACTGGCAATTGGGAACTAAATTTGTTTAATTTAGTAATTTTAGATAGGGACATATTTTTTTTTTTAGATGATCTTGAATTATAATTATAAGAATTTCATCTTATTTATTTATTTTTTAATGTATTTTAAAGCCTATTTTATTGTATGCTAGTAGTACTAGTACTAGTTGTCTGTTAATAGTACTTGTACATTATAGTTGAGTATAGTATAGGCCTATTTCCCTGTTCAGAGAAGAATAGATTAGAGTTCTCCTCTAACTACAGACATAGACTATAGTCATTAGACAAAAACCAGGCACTGCTCAGAACAACGTTCCCAAATTAAAAATAGAATACTTTTCATCTGGCTACCAGCCTAAAATAGCCACCTATTGGTGACATAATTTTTTACTTTTAATTATGTTTGCAAACTAATTATTGCTTGTAATAATATTAAAATAAACAATTCCATGTTTCAAATAATGTTTTGTCAGGAAACATTTTACAAACTTATTACAAACGCCCGAAGGCACTGTACTATGGTTTGGTTAGTGTGGCTTGCTGAAAACCTTCTAATTATACAAAAAAAAAGCTATTTAACAGAGATAACATTTGTATCTCTCTTGCATTTTTCTTTATTTTTCTTCTTCTTTCAAAACAAAAAATTTCGGGATATGCTGATGATGAAGAGGCTGATGAAGATCACGATCTTCATAATTTAAAAATAAACATTTAAATAGAGCATTAGACGTAAACAAATACGTCACCAATTATCGATGGCTATTAGGCTGGTACCTGGACACTTTCTAACGAAAAGTATTCTATTTTTAATTTGGCACCACCATTCTGAGGAGTGCCAACATCCATAATCATAACAATGAGACTAAATTTAAACCATAATTTATGGCACACTTTAAAACAGGAAGGTTTTCAACTCTGGCCATGGATTCATTTGGCTGATGTAAAAACTTTTAATTTCAGTAAAAGAATAATCATTTCTTCAAAACCACTAGCAAATGACTATCTAATATCTTAACATTTAAAATCATGTTATTATAGAAAAACGCCTACAAGTACATTTTAACTGATCACTCTAGGCTAACCCTAACCATAAAATAATTTGTAACCTATGACAATCTAGCATTGACAAATATTATTATTTATAGCAGGTGTTGGTTGGATGCATCTAAAACTAAATAAATTTCAACCTTTAATTTTTAATAATTGTCAGTTTTCATTATTACAGCTTAAGCATACTTCTATTTTAAGAATATATTTCTATGAAGGCTATCCCAACAAAATTTAAAAAAATACAAAATCACCCCTAAATCATAGTTATGTTCTGATGTATTAAAACATATTTTTTGTTTGTGGATGTGGGAGTATGTTGTCCAAGAGGTATCAGCTGAATCATAGAAATGTAACTGTAAGCCTACATTCTGCACTGTAAAACTTATGTATATAGCAGATTTAAAAATTATTCCCTTTATTAACTTTGAAACTGAAAGGCCAAAAACATTGTCTACTCATTAGCATTATATTAACTCTTATTATTTAAAGCTAGGCATTAATCATTAATGATAAATAGCTTTATTTTGTAAAATCTGTTAAAAAATTTTTAAAAAGCTTCAAAAGTTTTTTGACTTTTAAAAAAAAAAACTTTTCCTTCAACATCTGTTTCGTATTCTCAATGAAAGTTTAATGAAAAGTTGTTTTTTTAGCTGACAGTCACTTTTTAATGAGAAATGGGGGCATGCTTTTTATTGACAAGCAAATTAAATCATGGCTCAATTGTAGACACTGCGACACTCTTTAAAATTTTAATCTGCCACATAGCATCAGCTTCCCAGACTCATCTTGATGCATACAACGCAGGGGTATTTTCATGCTAAAGACAGTTTCGAATATTACAATTTTTTTAAAAAAAAACGAGACTCTAAAACATTTAACTTTTGTTGGGCGGACTGGTAACGTACGCCTTGCTGTATTATAATTGAAGCTTAGTTAAATGCATTATGTTAATTTTTGGTAATACTTACTGAAACCAGTATTGCATATAAAAACTGAAATTAGGGAAAGAAATACTATTATCAACATTGTATAAAAATAATGTCCTATCAACTGTTATAATTAATAAAGATGCCAACCAAACAGCAAGATTTTTGGACACAGGAATTCTAAGTTTAATATAGCTTAAGCATAAATGAAGCTGGTATAGAATCAACATTATTTAGTCTGGTGAATTTCCTGACCATATTGTCTGACACAGGAATACTAAGTATAATATAGCTTAAGCATAAATGAAGCTGGTATAGAATCAACATTATTTAGTCTGGTGAATTTCCTGACCATATTGTCTGCCTCATCTTGTGCCTCTATAAAATATTAATTTTAATACTTTTTGTTTTCCTTTGTAGCCTCCACTGAACTGAGTCAAGCCCACAACTAACTCAAGATGTCTAAATATCAGTACAGTAAACTTGTCATGGAGAAGTTTCTCCGACGGTCCTTCTATGATGCTGTTTTAGAGCTCTATGAAACGGCTCAGGGAACACGAATTATTTCAGTCAGCCTAGAAGGCAACCTATCTCTAGTAGTGAATAAAGATGAAAGTTTTGTCATCAAACTTAATGAAATTGCCCAGCGGGCTGATGACCGGGAAGACCATCAGCAACGTTATAAAGACATGGGAGAGATGAAGCTTGAAGAGAGCATGGACAGGTATGTGGTCAAGAAGGAAGAGTATCAACCCCACACAGCGGAATCCGTTCCTTCAAGTCTTGCCAATGAAATCATCAATCTGGATCCTGTTGCTAAGGAATCCGAAAAGCATGTGCAGGGAATAACTTTAGACCCCAACAAAATGGACACCAGCTATGATGATCTTAAGAACAAATACTCAGATGGTTCAGATGACAAGCTTAATGAAAGTAAGGGTGAAAGTGATTCTTATGAGAAGTCAAGTGATGGAGAGAGTGAGTCTGATGATGATGGCGATCCAGAACTACCAATGACTTTCCATCCCCACGCAATGTTACCTGTGGAAAATCAACACAAAGCAGAGGTGGATACAAGTGGAGGAGAAGATATTTGCTTCCTACCTGTTGGGCAGGTCGATGAATTTAAAAGAAAGTTAGAATACAAAGATCATGAGCAGACGGAGCTCCAAGGGAAAAAATCACCACGGAAAAGACGGAAAACGGCATCCTCGACAGATGGGGATGATGATGGAATGAAAGCGGATGACAAGGTTGGAACATCAACCGCTAGTGTCGATGAAGTGGGCACCGGGGGACTTCAACTTCTTCCTCATACAGGTAAACCTTTATGTAACATTTAATGTCTGTTTAGATAGCTGTTTGATAACACTCAAATGGAGAAAAAATGTATGAATAATATTTGAAATAAAATGTAATTGGAATAAATTAATGCCAGCTTATTAATATTCATGTATAAATTATTTGTTTAATTTGTTTTTGTTTTTAGTTATGAAATCTTTTCAATACATTTATTTAGAATGTTCATTCATTTCCAATAGCTCTAAGCTAGAAACAAATATTTGCAACAATTTTGTTCCTCACTAATGTAAAATTGTGACTTTTCTTTCAGCCACTGGCCCAATCATTGTGGAAGAAGATGACAGCAGTTACAACAATGGGATGACAGAAAGTCAGATGGCCCAACTGGCCATGTTCCAGATGAGAGATCCTAATGTAGGGATGTTCAGACAACAAGATTTGGAAGAGTTGGCCAGACAACAGCAGCAGTGGCAAATGGTGGCTTATCAACGCAGCATCATGGAGAAATCCTACCTTCAGCAACAAATGCAGCAGTACCAACGAGATACGGAGCGTCTCAGGTGGGAATATGTCGCTCAGCGAGAGTTGGCGCAGACGCGAGACTACACACAGCATTCAGAGGAGACTGAAAAGCTATACAGACAAGCTCAGTCTGCTTCTGCGGCAACAGAGGCGGCCATGCTGGCTGCCGCTGCTCTTGAGCAAGCCAAAAAAAGTTCCAGAGAGGGCAATGATGATACGGCCACAACAGCAGACAAAATGTCCTCTCAGTACTTGCGTATGCTGGCTGAAGAACATGTAACCAGTCAAGTGGATGCTGAATATGAAGAAGGGGAATTAAGGCCAGAATCTCACTTGTGTGTTCTTTGTGGGATTAAGTCAATGACGGTGGAACTTCTTATGAGGCACATGGAAAAACACAGAGTGGCTTTTGAGCGTTCCTGTTCTGTATGTCAGTCTGGAACACTGACTGGCAACATGTTGATACTACACATGGAAGCATCGCATGGACCAGAGACTAGTTTTCCCTTACCATCATCAACAGCAAATGTTTCAAGTTCTGCAGCTGCATTAGCTCCAGCACCACCTGTTACAGATTTCTCTCAATCGTTCCCTGCATCACTTCAGGCAAGTTACAATATCCAGGCCCAGGAGGAGTCGACTGGCATGAAACTTCCACAGCAACCCCAATCCCCTAAACACTCACCCACAAAACCACAAGAACCTGAAGAGACAGCATCAAGTTCTAATGTTAAGTTTGAATCTGAGGAAAGTTTTGACTATACTTTAGCCACATCAACTTCAAGAAGTGATACCGACATGACATCTTTGCCACAAGAAAATTTTCTGGGTATCCCGTCCCAGTTTTACCCTTTGATTGGATGCCAAGTCTGTGGAGAGAAATTTGCACTGAGTGAAGCCCTTGACCAGCATGTGGAAAGCCAGCACAAAGACACATCTTGCACTTACTCCTGCAAGCCTTGTTGCCTGACATTCAAGACGCACGTAGAGTACAGCAAGCATATGACAAGACATGATGCCTCCTCAACTAACCTGAAGTGCAGCCATTGCCTGAAATCCTTTAAGTCGGTCAAACAGCTGCGCTTGCATTATGTTGCTGCTCATGCTTGCTGTCATTTTTGTGAATACTGCCGTGCGGGTTTCCCAGACGCCATGTCACTACAGCTTCATGAGCAGCTGCACACCTTAGACCCTGAGAAACTGACTTTCCGTTGTGACATTTGTAGTAAAGCCTTTTACACTCAATCACAGTGTAGTGCTCACAAGCGAACCCACAAAGATGAGAAAGCACATGCCTGTGAAGTCTGCGGTAGTGCATTTTTCAAAAGGGGAGACCTCACCAAACATGTCCGCACAGTGCACTCACCCAGTCGTTTATTTTCATGTAAATTTTGTGGGAAAAAAGGTACCCGCATGGACAACATGAGGAGTCACGTGCGGTCACACCACAAGAACATGACCAGAGATCAAATTATAAACATGATTGAAGTCATTGAGTGATTTACGTCTTTCATTTTGTCGGTCATTTTTTTTACCATGTTAAAATCAGTTTCATGTTTTCATTGAACTGTGTTGTTCATTATCCACATCAGTGGACTCTAATCCCCTGACCAATGTGTTGGATTATACAGATTATGATAAAACATTTTTTCACAGGAAATTTTTAACCATGAAGTAACCCATTGGTGGAACTTGAGCAAGCTATCAGTAATACTCTGAGTAACAATGAGGTAACCCGTTGAGCATGCTATCAGTAATAATCTGAGTAACCATGAGGTAACCTGTTGAGCATGCTATCAATAATATGCTGATTAAATGTTTATGCTAAGCTAATTTCTTTTTCATCTTATCAATATTTTCTTTTTCTCAACTAAGAACTGAATATATGGTGAAAATTGTAATTTATTATGAGTTACAGCTTTCATTAAATTTAAATTAATGTATTTTCTCTTATTAAAATCTTTACAATCCATGAATAGTTTGACTAGAGCACTTTCTAAATCTTTCTACAGTTTTCTGTCTGTTTCAATAGATTGCTGTGTGTCAACTTTTACACTGGAGCTAGAGTTATTTTCCTCTCCCAACACATTCTCGCAACCCGTTCAGTATGTTAAAAGTTATAATAAAATGTTACATTATCGATACCTTGTTGAGTCATTTCCAGAATTTGTGGGACATAATGTGAAGATTGGGACATTAAATGTACCGGTAAATGTAATTTTCATGGCACAGGATTAGACTTTGTTGGCATTCAAAAGAATTGTTACACATATTGTGTTTAAGTTAAGTGCAGGCCAACAATATTGTAAATACTGGAGTTGAATGGACCTTGCAGATTAGATTTTTTTATGCTGCCTGCTTTGGTACCACTAAAACAATGTCTTGTTAGTTTATTAAATCTAGAATGGAGAAAATAGAACACATAAAAATTTTTTAAAATTCATTGAGAAATATGATCAAGTAAATAATAGTCTCCACAGAATGGAAATGATATTCTAGATCAATTTTAACAGCCCAACACCTCATACAAATTGTTAAACACTCTTTTAAAGATCCATTTCATTTTGAAATTTTGCAAGCTAATGTTTCTTTTCTGTTTTGTTTACTTAAGTAAAACAACCCAACTACATATAAAACAAGACACACAAATATAAAAGTATTCAATCAATCAAATATATTTATATAGATGTATATATAAAAGAACATTTTCTTCAAGAATTAAAATATGGATTATGAAAAAAAATAATTTAAGTGGATTATTATAATTAATTTTGGTCTTCTCAATAATGTAAGTAGCAAAAGAAGTCTTGGTTTCCCCACCCCCTCAATTACCATAGCAATCAACTATTTTATTTAGACTTGTGCATTTGCAGTAAAGCAACTTTAGATTATTTGCAACATAATCATTTTAACAATGGAAGAATTAGATATGAATGGTGAAAGACGAATTCCCTTTAAAATCAACTTAAATTTTAAGTAAGTAAATTTATTGTAGTAAATACAATATTTATCAATGGATTTGGATGCACACACATTTGTGCTTATTTCTCCGAACATGTCATGAGAGATTAAAATTATCCAGACTTTATGTTTTTTGTGCTCTTTAATAACTGCATCTATCAAAGCTGGTTATCAAATTTCTAAATTTAGAAATGGTGAATATAATAAAATTTGAAAAAAAATTACATATTTTTATATGAAGCAAACAAATTTGCATTGATGACCTTTGTGAAACTTTGTTTTTTTTACTTTTAAGTTTTCATGTGTGACTTTAAAAAAAAAGAAACAATAATGTGATAATGAGGATCTTACCAAAATGTTCTTGTGCATGTGTGTGTATTAAAAATTGTAAATAACACTATCACAAACCAAGGTAAATGACTACATTGGGCAAGTATTGGTGTTTTAAATATCGAAAGATTGACATACCATTTCTTGTTTAGTGAATCAGTCTGATCAGTGAATTCTTTTATTATAAATGTCTAAATAAATAAAATTGCTAAATTTGTGTTATGGAAATAATTCAGGACCTTAAAGAAATGAGCCGGCACTTTGCTTTTTTTAAGTAAGCAGATTAGCGTAGTAAAAAAATACATTTAATCGCTGTCTTAAAAGTTCAGATCTTATCTGCAGAATATACATTCTTGTCATCTTATTCAACTTTGTTGTGCCAATTATTGTAGAATGATCGGCATAATACTATTTGCTGTGTATACAAAAATATGAATCTGCATAAGATAAACTTTCACTAAGTTCTAACTTCAACATTTGTTTACTTTTGTAAATATTCAAACCCATCAGCTTTTGTAAATGTTTCATCTTGTTGCGGAGTTTTTCCAATTTAGGATGATGAATTTAATGCCATCCTAGCAAAGAAAGTTTTTTTTGGTTTGTTTTTAAAGGACTTGGCTGGCCAACATTCTTTATCCACTGTATATGATTTATTGTTTGCCTTTAAAATAATTATTTAAATATTGATATTGCTATAACTTTACTAGTCCTTTTAAATTGTAATTGATATTTGTATATCTTGCCAATGTTAATGATTCCCTTCCTGTAAATTTCATGTTTATTCAAGAATCTGTTGTATGTCATCTGTTTGGTTTGTATAATGGCTTCATTTGTTTTGGGTTTTCTTCTTCAGAGTAGTTGGCTTTAGTAACTTTGATCTTTGGTCATTTTCTCTCCAGCCTTTCATAATGGGCTTTAGTAACTTTGATCATCGTTGATTTTCTCTCCAGCCTTTCATAATGATGCCTGCAGTTTTGATCAAGTTCTTTTTAATGCTGCAAGAGCCGACATCAATTTATAGTTCAGGGCGTTGACTTGATTCTATTGGTTATATTTGAGTGTCATAGGAATGCTTTAAACTTGATGCCAGGTGCCAGCTAACTCACTAACCAATATAGTAATGTTGTTTCATCAAAGGAATTTAAAATTAAGAACTTTTCTGTGTACTGTTGTTGGATTATGGGGCGACTAGAAAAACAGAGGTGTCTTTTCATATCCTGGAGTTTTGAACAATTTGTAATGTATTTACACCTTACTCTTGATAACTCATGCTGAAGAAGTCAATTATGTTTGATCAGAGTTTATGAATATAAAACCTTGCACATTATGAAATAAAAGAAAAGTTTGTAGAGATTTCTAGTTTGTTTGTATCATTCAAAGAGATAATAACGCTGTACACCATCTGTGCCAGACAAATCAAACAAACATCTTGGCTTTTTTTAACCAAGAAAATCTGTCAAATTTTGTATAAAAACTTCTCATTCTTTGTTGTAAAAAGACCTTTATGAAATTTAATGTATTGCATTTTCATTTATCACTAAAGCAAATTCATGTCTATCGTGTCGAATCTAAAACATGAAGTAAAGTATTAATGCATTTTAAACTTATAGTGCAAGGTAATGCTAACAGCAAGTAAGTTATAATCTCATTTATTTTTCTATTCAATGTGATCAAGCAAATGTAAGAGTCTTTTATATTTTTTGTAGAAATTCTTTCAGAAGAGTTTTTATTCAAATATTTTAAATAATTGTACATCACCAATGAATATAATTTTTAAAATCTTTAGTTTAAGACTGATTGATTTTAGTAGGAACATGAGGGTCAAGATTTTTATTGTCTTCAATATTTAAATTACCTTCAACTTCAAGATTACATTTGATAGTTTCATTATGACATTTTTAGAACAGAAATTAGAACATTTTTAGTTAAGATGCTATGGTCAGCTAAAAACCATAATTTCATTTGTTTGAAATATTTTTCTATTCCGCTAAATTGATAACGTTATTAATTACAACTAATTCACTGCAGTCTATATTACTGACATCGCCTGACCAACAAAAATATGTTCAAAAATTAATTGTTATAGCTCAGACAAAAGCAACCAACTTGCCTGGTAATAATTTTGTAGGGACCATGAAGACTTTTGTCATAAGTCATTCAAACCACTGTTACAAAAGCTCAACCAGCTTTGGAAATTGTGGTTTTAAATTTTTTGACAAAATGTTGATATAACAAGGGACCATAATTTGCTAATTGATTTTCCATGCATCCCTCCTTTGCCTTATTTGATTTGTTTGTTGTTAAACTTCATTGCACATGATTTCTTCTGCAGATGCCTTTTTCAAATTTTACCTAATGATATAATTCTTTTTGGGTTTAAGGAATTAACATAATTTGTTGATTTTTTTTGCAGAGAGGAGAGAATTTTCAGTCTAGTGAGTAGATTTTATATTTCTTTTCATTGTACCAGAAATGTATATTTGACAAATCTCATGTTTCACTTGATTAATTAATGTCATCCATAGTGTTACCGAGATGAGCAATGGGTAGGTTATTTCAAATGAAAACAATGAAGCTCTTAATCCCTTAGAATAGACATGACATTAAAATTACCAACAGAACCAAAAAACACTAAGGAAGTACAGGGGAATCTAATGGCTTCCTCAAGGGGTTAAAGAAAGTCATTTAAGGCAGATTTTTTCTAACGCCCAATGAAGTCAGTTGAAAAGTATAGTTAACTTTAAAAAAAGAAAATTGTGGGAAAAGCCAATTTTTCTTATGAATTTTACAGTTATTATTTTAAAATGAATTTTACTGTTTCATATTTTCTCTTAACTATCAGATCAGCAAGCGAATGCTTTGGCAACATGTAATTGACTTTCATATGGGTATAGGATAAGTAAACTCATCAAAATATATCAATGGTTAAAAAAAATACTTGTGTAATGGTGGGTGGAACAAACCTTGTGCTTGCAACTGTACATTGAACTTTGGGTCCTACATGTTGCTGCAGGTAATGATTTTAGTATTGAAAATTGGGGTTTATGGGAAATGACTTTATTTAAAGTTTAAATAATTTTTATGACTCTTTTGTGCTCATATTTCATAAACACTTATAGAAACAGTTGTCATGCTAATTTTAAGTTTTATAAATTAGAATAATTTATTCCTGTTAAAATGTGCATTTACTGTTGAAAAAGTATTTTTAAAGTTGTATTTTTAAAAAACTATGACTTGTAAATTAAAAATGTAATGTTTGAACAAAAAAAATTAAATGTGATTTGTAAATCAAGGCTGATACATAAATTACATATCTTATGAGTAATAGTGTTATAAGTCAAGGTTAAATATTTTCCTTATTTCGAACAAAAATAAGCATGCTGTAACTATTTGTAATTGTTTTCAGTCTTTTGACACTCATTTACTTTAAGATTGAAAAGTAATGATCAAAAGTTCAAGTCAAGTTAAAGCAAATAATAGTGGGAAAAAAGCTAACTTTTCTTAGAAATGTTACAGATATTAATTTAAAATGAATTTTACTGTTAAATATTGGTTTTCATTTGATGTATATGAGGATCAAGAAGAAACATTTAAGAAATAAACACTAAACAAAACAATGCTTCGTATGCTCCATGCAACTAACTCTTTTACCAGCCATCTTGCCCGATTAGCTGTACATCATTCAAGGTCCTGTTAGATCGCCATTTTAGTTAACTTATAGAATTAAAATATCAAGGCTTTCCTTTGTTCACCTCTTGATATTCAAACTTCCTCCCATTGCAACAAAATTTGACATTTTCTTTATAAATGGCCTTTCAATTTAATATAGTTATGTGCAATGAATGTCTAATTTCCTTGTCAAAGCTAAATTAGTAGTATTATTTATTGATTATTCCAAAATATCAGAAGTCACTGATTATCATGTACAAAATTATTTTGATATTGGTGAAAGAAAATTTTGAAATGTGTGCATCCCTTGTTCAAGCGGTCACTTCAATAAATAACGTGTTGGGAAAGTATCTGTGATAAAATACAAACGTTTGTAATTTAAATGTTTTAAAAGGAGCGCTTTCAATGACAATGTTGTTTCATTTGGGTTGATTGCAAGAATATGTTTAAAAAAAAACTCTTACTGAACTGATACAGACAATCAAAGAAAAAACTATTAAATTAGTTTATATAGATATCAAATATGTGTAAGATTTTAAAAGTACAGACAAAACTTGTAAGGAAATGCCTAAATAGTGTCTGACGCAGGTACGCGGCAGATAATGTTCACTTGGGTTGTATCTTCGTAATAGATGTCTACTGTATTTTAATGCTTGTTAAGCTGTTGTAAACTTTGTCATAT